ATTAATTTCCCTTACTGTTAAAATTTGATTCAGGCTTGATTTAATCTTTCACAGCTGCAGCCAATATTTCACTTACGCGCAAAAATTTAATTATTTGAATAGTTACTTAGAATACCGGCTATGAAAAACTTTAAAAATATATTTAGAACCCCCCTAAAACAGTATAGGATACAGTTTGTACGTTTTATCAAGTAATCTTATGGTCTATTCTTAGTAATCATGATATTATTGGCTAGGAAGGAAATCAGAATAACAGTCCAAAATATTTTACATAATTTATGAAAGAAAGTATATATGAACATCAACCTCCTCCCCCAAGTACATTGCAGCTGGATGCCTTGCATGTCAGTACAAAACTTCACTTTACATGCCTTAACACTGCCCCACTCCTTTCCATTGGAACATGCAAAATGTCTGACCTTGAATCTTACATACATTAATGACATATCATAGAACTGATTTTTAACTCGTATTAAGTCATTATACCTTTTCTAATTTATAGAAGTGCAAATGCTGTCTAGGACAGTCCAATAGAAATGTCTGTGATGGGAATATTCTGTATCCACAGTTCTAATAGGGTAGTAGCCGTTAGCCACATGTAGCTAATGAGTCCTTCAAACATGGCGAATGGGAACTAGAAACTGTCTTTACTTGTATCTAAATTTAATTAATTAATTAATTATTTTTTTCATATATTTTATTGATTTTTTATAGAGAGGAAGGGAGAGAGATAGAGAGTTAGAAACATCGATGAGAGAGAAACATCAATCAGCTGCCTCCTGCACACCTCCTACTGGGGATGTGCCGGCAACCAAGGTACATGCCCTTGACCGGAATCGAACCTGGGACCTTCCAGTCTGCAGGCCGACACTCTATCCATTGAGCCAAACCGATTAGGGCTTAAATTTAATTAATTTAAAGGTAAATCGTGTCTCGTATTGGATTACTACTGGCCTAGTAGAGCTTTCAAACATTCAGATAAATGTTAGAAGTGGAAAGTAGATTTTTGCCAATCCATGAATTTTAATTATCGGCATTATATTTTTAAAACTCCATCATTGATTCCTTCAGTATGACTTTTTCTAGAAGGTTCACATTTCAAAAAAATGAAACACAAAGCAGTCACATTCTTTAGTTTGCTTTTCTGTATGAATAATATTTTTTTGCAAAGAGGTGTAAGGCTGATTTTATTGCCAACTCTGCCCCCTCTCCTATTGACAGAATTCAGTGATTAGGTTCCTGCATTTATTTAGGTTATTTTTCCTAAAAATCATGGTTTCCATACTGCAAATAAATGACAGGAACTTTTCCACTAAATTACCCAGACAGCACAAGTGTTCTTTCCAAAAGTGGAGACTAGAACCACAGCCCCCTCACGTTGCCTGTTACATCTGTTTATACTTACAGAAGTCACATCTACTTTGTAGACAGAGAATGCCAATTTCTCGGGAAAGCACCCAGAATCTGGTGAGACTTGAAGAAAAAAATTTCACTGTTCAAAATAAAAGATACGTAGATTAGCTACAAAGCCCTTTTTAAAATTAAGTATGGGAGAAAAGATTTTGCTCCCAGAGTGTAGATGTGGCGTATTTGCTGGAGTTCCTAATCAGCCATAATCCCTTACTAGCGGATGAAGCTGTGGGTAAGTTACAAAACCTAACCTCAGTTTTCCTACCTGAAAAATACATACAGATAACAATTCTGTTGGGAAATGCAGTGTAAGACTTTGAAATGGACAAAAGATTACTGGCTGTCCTTTCAATGGAATGCTGGATGTTATCTGCAGGAATGTAGGGATTGCGTGGTTTTTCAGTAGGCCGCACCTTCGACTGCCTTTGGCTAGGTTATAATCCATAAACTCTAGAAATTTATGGTCATGTAAACAGTTCTTATCTATAGATAAGGCGAATTCTTTTGTTCCTTAGAAACAGTTGATTACTGCCTGTGGAACAGATCATTCAAAACCTTATATTTTAGTATCTTAGACCATATTAACCGGTTTTGCCTTTCCCCTGATTGTCTATAAAGGCCTCACATTCTCATTTGAATGTGTTGCAATATTTTCCTGGTTCCCTCCCTCATTAATGAGTCAAATAACATTTTTTGACACATCTTGATTTTTTATTTCTGTGAGTCATGCTTTTACTTTCTTGAAACATTATCTTTTAAGAACTTCTAGTGCATAAAGTTTTTCAGAAGATTGGTTTAAAGGTCTATATTGATGGTCACGATCAGTTTTATAGTTTGCAGTAAGGCTCTAACACTTCCACTATTATTATTCTTTTTTGGGGTAGGGTGGGGTAGGGTGGGGGGTGATGTAGGAAGGAAGGGATACTGAGCTTTCATTATAAACGGGTGAAGACCTGAAAAGCAATCTCCTGCCAAGTGTCAGGAGACCTCCTCCTCCCTCTCCCTGGCAGTGGAGGCTGAAGGTCAAGGTGGGTGGAGGTGGAGCGCGGTGGCCGCGGTGAGCCCCAGCACCTGGGCTCCGGCCAGGCCAGGTGGAGGCCTTCCAGCCAGCCGATGGCCGGG